GTTATATGCTTTTATAGAATTGAGAAATTTTTCCTAATTATTTATTTTGTTAATTTTTTAAACAAATAGACAATAAATTCAACTTTTTCGATTAATTAATAAATTATTTGTTATATTTATAATTAAAAAATTATATCACAATTACAGGAGAAAAATATATTCTTCACAAATTTATGAAAAAAGTTCTTTATAAGATCAATAATTCACAATTTGTGACAGATTTTATTTATCACCGATGGATTTCATTCATCACAGCAGTTTGTGACGGATTTTGCAGTTTGTGACGGATTTTATTCATCGCAAATTGTGAGGGATTCTAGTCATCTAGTTTGTGACGGATTTTATTCATCCCAATTTGTGACGGATTTTAGTCATCACAATTTGTGACGGATTCTAGTCATCACAGTTTGTGACGGATTTTATTCCTTGCTAATTGTGACGGATTCTATTCATCACAATTTGTGAGGGATTCTATTCATCACAATTTGTGACGGATTTTATTCATCATCACAATTTGTGACGGACACACATACCTTTGAATCCCTCACAAATTTGTGACGAAGATAGTCCCTCACAAATTGCAATGGATTTAATCCCTCACAAATTGCGACGGAGTTAGAGGTCGTCACAAATTGCGACGGATTCTATTCATCACAATTTGTGAGGGATTCTATTCATCACAATTTGTGACGGATTTTATTCATCATCACAATTTGTGACGGACACACATACCTTTCAATCCCTCACAAATTTGTGACAAAGATAGTCCCTCACAAATTGCAATGGATTTAATCCCTCACAAATTGCGACGGAGTTAGAAGTCATCACAAATTGCGACGGATTTTTATTAATTTATAAACAGTTATTATTAGAAATAAGTGACGGAAAATATATTATTTGTGATGTCTTAATTTCGTCACTAATTGTGACGAACTGAAATTATTCGTCACTAAATATTTTGTGACGCCAATTTTTGTGACCGAATCAGTTCCATCACAAATTTCGTCATTAATTTATTTGTGACAGATTTTATAAAGTTTAGTGACGGATTTGTTCCCTCTCTGATTTTAATTTTTCTAGTAGTTGTTAAGTGTGACGACACATTAGTTGTTGATATCTACATATATATATATATATA